GAAATGTCAAATTCTTAAGTGTACTATAGACAATCCGATTGCTTTCGATATAAAGCTATCTGATCATAGATCCGAAAGATAAAAACTATCGGAGAGACTAAGGATCATACAGGATCCTATAGCATCGTGTTAATTTATCATTATAATAGCAACTAAAGTGACTACCACAATCCGTGTAAACAGTGATAAGCGATCGATTATAGCGATGTTCATACTTATATTTATATCATATGATAAAAAGCAACACATCATTCAGTAGTATTATTCCATAGATCATCCATGTGTATTGCCTGTTGATTGATATGTGAATTAACACTAAACACATTTTAATGATATTCTATTCACTTACTATTAGATTTTTCATTTCAAACAAAATTAAATAAAAAATATTGCCATTATATTCCTATAACTAATCAATACATTTTTCAGTAAATTTTATGAAAACAGCCTCAAAAGAACAATCATTTCGTTGATTGTCTTTGCAAAAAAAAAGAAACAAAGAAAATAAAATAACAGATAGCTTGAAATTAAAAGAAAAAAATAGTTTAAAATCAGTAAAATGAAAGAAAACATATTTTCAGAGTTAATCTCATATAACTAAAATGAGTGTTTATAATTGTTCTGAATTCAGTAGTATTCTTTTTGTTTTAGTGATCCCAAATGATATTAACAGATGTGCTATTAGTTTGATGTACTCTTGATCTACTCGGATCAAATCGACCTATTTTTTTCCTAATAATTTAACTTGAATTGCAATATCATGGTAAAAGACGTTTCATCGAAAATATTTGTTAAAATTCTTTCAAACTCGGGAAATGACAAGACTTGACAGATTATACATCGTGGGATATCGTCAGATTCAATAAGTTCATATTACCAGATTTTATCGACTCGCATGAGCTTTTTCGACTTCAGAAAGCCTTCTGTTTCGTTTCCTTGATATTTACTGATTTTCAATAGATATATTAAAATCTTCGTTATTTCTTTTTCGATCACATTCTGTGCACAAATATGTCATTTAGCAGATTAGCGGTAAATGCTAGTGTCAATTTTTGATGATTTGAGATGCAATTTTAGTCATTGACAATATTTGTCCTTGAAATTAACGATGTGAGATAACATAATTGTCGAGTCATTGATATCAGCATATTTGCTTACTGAATTATCAAAAAATAATACATGAAAATGAAACAAATTTGACTCAAGAAAAACACTAGGTGGGCAATTTCACAAGCGATAGAATATGTATAAAAAGTCGAACGACTATCACAGTAATCACTTCAGTCAAATCATCAATACAAATATGAATAGTTTGACACTTCTTTCATTATTCATTTATGTAGCTGTTGCTACATCGGCTACTCTGCCTGAATTACATGTTATCAAGAAAGTATCATTTACCCATCCGTATAGCTGTCAATCAAGTCCATTAAGTTATGAAGGTTGTGCTCTTTTTCTGACCGATTATGGTGTATCGCTAAATATGCCTGATCTTTTGTATAATGGAGCTTGTGGTTCGGATAATACCTTTGATGTGATGTTAGCTGGTGATGATTTCGGTATGTTAACCGATTTAGGTGATGTACCATTGGAAAATGTCACGGCGGCAAAAGCCTTCAATTATGAATATATGGTTGGTCACGACAACAAATTCACTGATACTGTCAAGGTAGTTAGTGGACATACTTATGCCGCACTCTTAGCGAAACGTGAGATTCGAGCATTGTTCGTTTTTCGTGTTGAAAATTATGAACGAAGTGGTCCAGCTTTAATTTCATATGCTGTTAAACAATATGGTGTTGTTGAATCCGTCCAAGAAGCACCGGGTTTTTCTTGGGATGCACCAAATTATTGAATAGAATCGAAAACATATTTGTCTGCTTTTTGAAAAGAATTTCTTATTACTGATATGCATATTTTAAATAAGAAATAAACTATGACAAATATGGTTAAAAGTTAGAGTTCATTCGAAAGAAATGACTTAGTTTTTTTTATAAGATTAACTTCAAGGATACATATAAACTTTGATCTACATAATATTGAAAAATAAGGATTTAATTATAATAGATTCCAACATATATTCTTATGAGTGTTTTTTTATTAATAGAAATTGATGTTAAATATTCTGTGACATACTTTGGGATGAATGAAAGCAAAAGTTTTAAAATATTTATATATGTTATATGTACAAAATATTATATTTCATTTTGGTTTTGTAAAATAACAAAAATAATCTAACTCATTGATTCAAATAACATAATATCGACTATTCATATTATTCAACTAAACAATACTTTAATAAAGATTAATTTCTATCTCTCAATGATATTTTTTCTCTGTGGAATAATTGGTAATCTATTGATTTTTTTTAATACTTATTCAACCAATACTTCATCAGATAGAACATGTTGTCTATTTTCTTGTTGTTAGTTTATTGAATTCATTCATTTTCACATACAGTTTATTGGCACGTATTCTTCATGATTTAATTTTAATGCCAAGTTTAACATATATTGTAAGATGTCGACAGTTCAAAATTCGAGCAACATTTTTCTTTGACGTGTTTTTTATCATGGTTGAATAGATCTTGTCGAATTACTTTTGAAAATGTTCTTTTTCACATATTCGAGTGATGTTTTCATAGCAAAACTTAGTGAAATTAAATTTAAAAAAAATAGAAAAGTTTATAAGAAACTGACATATAGCAAAAGCATCAAGTCTTGATACTCTCAATATGTATTCAATATTTACTTTTAATTTTCATCGTCATATAGTTAGAAAAAGTTTAAGAAAGCTTTATGAAAAACAGTTTCATTACTGATAAAAATGATATTTTTGATATGATAGTAAAGCATAATTAATATAGATTTATATTCAGAGATTTTGACCATCAGAACTTCAATTGCAAATAAGGCTAACATTTTATTCAAAATCAGTAGAAAAATTTGCATTGAAAACTAGCCTGAATAGTTAAAATAATTTTTTTCTTCAACCTTCGGTTCTTGCACTCTCTCACTGTTGTTTTTTTCGGATAATCTGATCTGTCGTTTTCGTAAGATCAAAAGTGCAGAATAATTTGTTTTTAGTATTCAGTTTAGTTTTCGATGTTCTTTTCATTTGTAATCAAAGTTCTGATGGTCAAAATTTTTGAATATGAATCTGTTTTAATGGTGCTTTACTGGCATATAGAAAAAAATCGACTTTTTCAGCAATGAAACAATAAATTTTAAAAAGGATTCTTAATTGTTTACTCATCATATGACTAGGAAAACCAAAAGACCTTAATGCATAAACATTAATGGCATATCAAGATGGGACGTTTTTGGTGCATTTTGTAGATTTTTTTTATTTTTTTTTTCACCTAATTGTCTTAGGCTTTGTTACAAAAACATGATTCGAATATGTGAAAGGAACATTTTGAAAGAAGACTCGACGAGATCTATGCAACCATGACAAGTAAAGCGTAAAAAAATGGCTCCTAGAAATTTGAATATTTCGGCACCTTAGATATATGCAGGGGTCGCAGCGGCCTAGTATGCAAAATCAGGAATCAGGACAGGAATTTTCAAGAAAAAAATCAGGATTTGACCGAATAAATCAGGATTCTCAAAACATAGGCACTGTTCATCGAAAGTGCACATCATTTCGCAATAGGAATTATGAAATGCCAAATGGCACTCATTCTCTACTCTATTCCAGCAGTTGACAACATCCTTAAAATGGGAAATCGTACAATTTCCCACAGAAAATCAGTATCCCATAGAATTTTAAGAGAAAATCGTCCTCCCATTGCCTCAGTGTTTCGAGAACATAACAATCACGTAACATAGCTAGCTTAACTCTTAGTGAAATAATTAAACAAAGCGCGAAATAACAAAACAAAACCGCTGAAACATTGTGATGATTTCCAGCTCGTCGATAGACAATCGTAAAATCAACATATATTTCGTTCTAGAAGGTCGAGTGTCAACAGAAATCGTCAATTCCAAGCAGACATTGTTGGAACATCGTCATGATGTCCCAGCGATGTTCTCTGAACTAGACTAGAATAACGCTCAGTTGGCCTGCTTGCCTGAGCCTTTAGGACTAAGTTATGACCACTTTATTGGATTTTAGTCCTATGAGGTCAGGTTATCTGCAACAGCAAATATGAGCATTTCGACCTGAAATTTTGTCTATAAATAAATCTAATGTCCACTAAGATATCTTAAAAGTTTCAGACAAAACGAATGCATCCTTCTTAAGATGTTGAATATCCAAATATTCCGATTTTTGTGAATTTTTTTCTGAGAAATAGACGGTTTTTTGAAAACTAAATATCTCAAGGATGCATTCGTTTTGTCTCAACCTCTTAAGGTATCCTCGTGGCCATCAGATTTATTTATAGACAAAATTTCAGGGCAAAATCCACATATTTGCTGTTCCAGATAACCTAGTGTCATAAGTCCAGAGTCCATGATAAATCAAGCTCAAATGGCCAGGCAAGTGAGCCAACTTAAGGTTATTCTAGTCCAGAGGTCCCAAGATATAGCCAAAATATCAGGTCAAAAGCAACAGTACATCTTGAGAAGTTCATTCATGAGATTCGTCGACGGCAATCCAACGAAGAGAGTTGATTATTCATCGGACTCTCGACTTCCAGATCTACTAACTAACTAACTTGTGCCTGTCTTTTCTTTTTTTTTCTTACTGAATAATGATACAAGATTTTGTATGAATCTTGTAAAAAAAAACAGATGAATTTTTTCATATATTCACCGACATTTTTCAGTTCATAAAGAATTTTATCTATTCTTCAAACAAGATGAACAACGCGATCATTGAAAAAATAGTATCTTCATCAATTCAAGACTGAGTTTCTGAAATGCCTACACTGAGACTAAACCGAAATTTTCTAGAGAAATTATTTAGTTTCAAAAAGCACCAAAAATCAGGAAATCACGATCTTGTACCAAAATCAGGATGAATCAGGACGACTACGAAAAATCAGGAAAAAATCAGGAAATCAGGACCGCTGCGAGGCCTGTATATGGTGTAAAATTCGTACGATTACTATACTAACACGATGAACTGTCACTTTAAACGATTGATTGCAATCACAACTGTTGATCGTAATTCAAAGTTAATTGATATTGAGTAAACAATTTGAAATAAATTGTCGAATGTTTATTTTTATTTCTATTATTGATGTTTGACCATCTATACAAGTTGATTGATTGTTTGCATACAAATATTATCAATATTCCATTGATCTGCTATAGAAAATCTAAAGCTTATGGTACAGCTAACAATCTATGTCGTCCAAAAAATTTTTTTTCTTTCTAAATACTGTATTATATCTAGCACAAGTAGTAAAACTATTGTTTATGATAAATCTTTGTATCAATCGCAATTAGTTTTTCAATGAGCAGTGATCGATTTTATTTTCAATATTATTAAAATTATTTCACATATACTATGTGGCATTTCATTTTTGAAAAAAAAAATTATATAATTTAATCGTACAGTAATAAATTGTTTACCCTTTTTGTAGTTGAAAGAAAGTTGTGCATTTATCAAATGAAGATAGTTTTGCATAAAGTGTAACGATGGACCATAATGAATCGGGCTAAATGTAAAGGGTTTTGTTTTGCTCAGTTACTATTACTATTCATAATAAATATTCAATTATATACCCAAATAAAAAGAAGTTCACACTTTACAAAAGTATGTACTTTACTTTTATCTTTTGAATATTAATTAAAATATTAAAACACATCCTTTATATTCCACCTGCAACAAATTGTTGTTTCTGTTAATGAAAGTTCTTCCAAGTCATTTCAAAGTTGATCTCCCAATAACGAGAAATTCTATATCATATGATAGAGATTCTTCATGTTAAATTTGGCGAGATTTTAAAAACTGAAGTTTTTCTCAGTGAACATTTACTTGCAGAGTGGAACGTTTTTTAATAGAAGACGTACTAGGGTGAGTGAAATTACGGTTTATTCGATTATCTCACAGCATCAATCGCATCATTTACATAAGCAACCAGGACTATACCGAAATTAGACGCACTTCTGAGCGACTGAGAATGAATACAACGAGAAAAACTAAGTGCACATCAGACAAATCAAATCACCAAGATAATACAAAAATATTAGTCGTACATGCCATACATGTCAAAGGGTCAAAGCATGAGGAGAAGAATTCGAAAAAATAGTTGGTAACCGCAGTCAAAATCATGATAGAAAGGTTGAATATGGCAGATAGCCCTTAATCAACGGGATAAGTCGACACTAAGAAGTGATAACTAAACAAATAATTAACAGTCTGACATGGCAGTCAGTACAGAATAGGGTTGAGAGCCAATGCTTGTGTTTGTAATTTGTCACATATTTATGAATTCGATTGGTTGACAGACTGTTTATTTAGATTGTCATCGACTTAAATCATGGTAGAGATTAACGAGAACGCATTTATCGGTAACTGTGTGCTGCTAATAATAGGAGTATTGTAAAAGCAAAATAGATACAAGTCGTCACGTTATATATCGATCGGTATATAGGATATAGGTTCAAGCATGACATTGATTAGACGAATCACCACACAGTAGAAAGGAAACACTTTCAAGGCATTTCTCTCACGAATAGATCGACTATTCATTTTTCTCAAGTCTTTTGTCAATACGAATGTAGCGGAGGCCGTTGCCACCAATTCCAATGAGGATGCTAATTGTTACAACAATGTCACACGAGTCATTGAAATTTCAGATTTAGGTTTGACATCTTATCGTTTGAGTTCTTGTTGTTGAAAACAAATGACAACGCAAGAGAGACGTTTTAACTCAACATTGAAATGATCGACTGCGAACATCGAGCTGCGAAGATCCGTTAGCTACAATCGGTAAATGTAACCATTTTTTAATAGAAGAAATGCTACTGCGGGTGAAATTACACTTTATTCTGCATTTTTGCATCATCAATCGTACCTTTTACACATAGAACATACGCTTATATACGCAGCCAGGAAAGAGAAAGAGAGAACGATATGTGTAACAGGAAGGATAAAATTGTGAGATGAGAGATATGTCGATATTATGGCGCAAAGTTACTATTTTCGTACCGAAAATTGCAGACTTGATTCTCAATCAAACTACATTACTGGTAAACTAAAGTACGAACTCTTTTTGGCAGATTTAACTAGAAAAATAACTAGGTCCCAAAATCGATGTAAAATTTTGTTTTTATTTTTCAATTTTGTTTTCTAACTTTTCAACTGATGTCATGCTTTTTTTTTGTCTTAAATATCACAGTAGGCGGATATACACAATATATCGATGCTTAGATTGGTGTAAAGTGGAGAAAAAAAAATCTTTCTCAAAATGACATAGAAAGTTTTATAGCTTGCAGTTCAATGTCTTTTGGCATATAATTGAATATATTTTATGTATAGCAATTGCGAGAAAAAGATGCATTTGCATTTATTCCGATTAATAATAGCCAATCCATTGCATGCTTCATATTCTCATAGGAACGAATAGTAATCAATAAACGATAAAAATACAATCAAATACTTGCATCTATCTATGTTAGACAATATCCTTTCATGAATTTTCACTTAGTATAGGCATAGAAAAAGCAATTCATTTTTTAAATTAAGATATGATTAACTAATTGAAAATGTAAATGCACTGCAGCTTGAAGCTATTGATGTTAATTATGCTGATGAAAAGCCAAAGATAAGCACATCAACAACGACTATAATAATAATAATAGAACAGAAAGTGTCACACAAATAGGCAAGAGAATTCCCAGCAATGTTTCTATCATCGTGCTGAAATACAGGCTTGCATCTAAACCCATTGCTTAATACATGTCTATTATACGACATTAATAATCAATTGATTATTTTTTATTTTTTTCTTCTAAGCGAGTAAAAAAAATACGAACTTCTATTGACATATATTAGTTAGGTGGATACAGCTGTTAAAAATACTCACAGATTAATAGTTTTTCTGGATACAAACATATTATTTGTTTCAATTTTATCGACAATAACGTGAGTTAAAATTTTTACCTCTAAATTATTTCTATCTAATCCGTATAAGATTGACATGTTTATGATTCTACTATTAAATAATACAGCAAAAATTATCGACTACAAATGTCATAAGTACATGAATATAACTATAATGCGTTCTGTTTTTTCATTCATATCAATAAAGTTTACAAAAGAAAAAGAAACTTTTTCTTATTTACTAATGTATTAAATAGATATGAGAACTTTGTGCATTTTCTTGTTGATGTGTTTGATGATAAAATTGTAAAAATTGAACAAATAGCAATTTCTAATGGTTTTATGACCTGAGGTATTGATTACTAGTATACAATCGTTTTTGTGTTGCTATAATTATCCTGAGAGGATTTATTGATCTCTCATAGCAAACATTTTAACGATAGATGAGAGAAAATAGGCATCTATAATAATCAGAACCATTTACATATATATGTTGCAGTAGAAAGTAAAATTCTTCTAGTAGAAATTGAAATTTCATTTTCTACTAGTAAAAAATGAAATTTCAATTTTTACTAGTAGAATTTTAATTTCTACTCCAACATATATATATATATATATAACGGTTTATTTCAATTATTATCGGTTGTATGTTTTCTTTAATGTGATGTATAACATATCTATCTCTTTCTGTATCTTTAATCTGATTTATTTCAGCTGTATGAAAAATTCTTTCTACTAGAATAAATCTGATAGTTGATTTTCTATTTTATTCAAGAGATTCTTAGAACTTGACTTCTCACTGTGCATTATTTATCCTATCAGTTAGAAATACTATTAACTAGAATATATTATTGTCATTTACTATTCTGTTCTAGATTGCTAGTAGATACGATAAGTATGACGTGGGCTTTAATCACCCAAGCAGACAAACATGTCGAATTTTGTATCAGTTTTCTACAAAAATTAGCTTCGACGCAAAATCTCAAGTTTTTGAGATTATTTTGCTTGTCTTTTTCTTTGTATGAAATATTTTTATCTCAAAAACTTGGATTATGTTTAAAAAAATGAGAAAGAACTCAAGCTTTTGTGAAAACTACAATAGAAAGTAATATAGACAAAAAACATTTTAGTAGTTTGTTTCCACTTGTCGCAGAAAAGTCGTACAAAAACCGACATGTCTGTCTGCTTGAGCAATAAAAGTTATTATTATAGGTCTAGACGACCTGATTATTAAAAAAAAGGAAGTAATTAGAATATATTGACATGTCGATTTTTATGTTAATGGATAGAAAACAGTACGATTCAACTTATTATTACCAGCTATGTTGAATAAAAATCGATTTAAAGAATGTGTCATATTTCTTTTGGTGACCTTAACATTGCCCGATTATCTATTTAAACTAATTAATATTAACATCATAGACAAAGAGCAGAAAATTCAAAACTACGAAAATAATCGAGTAATTTTTTTCTTTTTATATTTACTTAATGTTTTCTTTTTCCTCTTCTCATATTTCGCTATTAATATATGCGAATAGCATCAAGTATTCATTTTCTTTTCAAGGTTTCCGCTTTTCAATAAAAATTAAGTGTAAAATATAAGCATATCTTCATTAAAGACGAACGTTTTGTGGACACATATATTTACAGCAGAGTAAACACGCCTATAAGTTTAATTATAGTTCCTAAAGAAATGTGTCATAAGAAAAATGGAAGTTGTTTGCCATAAGCTATCAGAAAATTCCTAAGAGCATGTTAATACGTTTTCCTCTATTCTGAAGCCTATGAAGCAACGCTTCTTGATCAAACACACGATAAATATATTTTTTATTTTGTTCAACATTTCGATAGAAATAAGACAAAAACATAATCTCTTTATGATTATTGGAATATTTGCTTTTTTATAAACAATAGATTACTTATGGAAAATTCATCATTATCTTTGAACAATATTTCTTCTCGTAATTGGTGTCTACCATGGACTGAACCAGTATATTTATATGGACATTTAATTCCAGCTATTGCTTTATTTATTTTTGGTTTTACTTTTAATCCAATAGCACTGTATTATTTTGCAACATCACGTAATTTCCGTGGTACAGCTTATGCCTATTATTTTTCAGCCATTGCTACTGTTGACTTAGTTCGTTTGATACTATGGTGTCTTTTTTTACTACTTGATTATAAAATATTTAAATTAAACTTTCATTCATCTGAATGTTCAGTGCAAATTTTTTCGGAATCAGTTACAAGTTCAATTAGTGCTTGGTTGACAGTTTCATTAGCTGTTGAACGTTGTGTAGCTGTATCAGAACCACTTCAAACATACACCGATAAAAAAGGCAAACGTGCTCGTACTGTTATACCTTGTGTTATTTTGGCATCATGTGCAATTAATTCACTTTTTCTACGGTCAGGATTCTATGAAAAAAGGTCAGAATTAAGCACATTTCGTGATCTTTTCTGTTAGAAAAATAGAAATAACATTTGTTATGTTTTTATAATTCTTCAAAAGAAATATTTATTTTACTAATATTATTAAGAGTTGTTCGAAGAAATTATTTCAAATTTAATAGAGACAAAAAAATATATCTATCAAAATAATGATTGGAAAAATCCTATTAAAACATTGTATTATTTTATTGTCATAGTAAAAGTTCTTGTTTTGTACCATTTTCAAGTGATTTCGGCAGATAAAATACCATAAAAGAGAGTTAATTAAGTTTTTACTTCAACAAATATTGAGCTAGTAGTCATGTTTAATCAGGCATAATGAATTTTTTTGAAAGCATTCGTTGGAGCTATTTTTCGAATAAGTATTGATTAAGAACTTAATCATCTTGATTACCACACTCTATCTTGTGATTAGGGATCGTTTCATTGATGAAGTTTATCAATTAGATTGGTTACCTGAAAAATACATAGTAACGCCATCGACGCATTAAAACATCCAGAGTCTTCTTTTCTGTCTTATTGCTCATAAATTATAAGGAGGAAGAGATTTACTACGTTTCTCAATAAAAAGTCATGTTTTTTTGTAGTCTCGCCAATAATTCTTAATTTCAATTTGTTTTTGTCTAATACATCGTTGATAAACAAGTTCATCTTACATATCCTACATGCATAGAATGAAAAAGAAATAGGCGATACTCTGCAAATAAAAATGTAGACAATTGTTGTTAAGAAGAGTGTTCTTAGAACAAAACAGTCAACATGCCATAACACTTTGGTACAATGTCTAATAGCATTCTTTTTTTTGGAAAGAATAAGATCTGCCACTGGAAAAACTTAACTTTCTTAATAATCAAATAATTGAAAAGAAGAAAATAAATTATTTTTTGTCAGATTTATTTATACCAGTTAGTTATATTGAGGTATGAATAGTATAGATGAAATTCGTTCACAGTGGAATGTACCGTTAGTATAGTTGTTAGTCTCGAAGTAATATGAATGATTAAGATTGTCTGCAAAGAAGTAGTTTATAGAAGAACAGCAGTTGAATATACATTCAATGTTTTCTTTTTTGTTGGTTTCCAAAAAAAAATTTTGAAATCTTTTTGTGAAAAGAAATGGATTCTCAGGCTCAGAAGGAATACTTCATAGAACAAACATCGACGCATATATCTGAATGTTTTGCTTTCTGCAACTATGAATGCGCTGTTTTATGAGAAAAATATTTTTGAATTTCTAGGAGAATCATAACCAACACGTCACTATGATAGTACAAACAAAATATTGCCAACAGTGAACTTAGATATTATTATGGATGTATGCAAATACCTAAAAAAGTCAATAAGTTGCAGGAATTATTTTGAAAAAAATCTATTTTCAGAGAGATTTTCTAATGTATCAACGGCTCTACTTTATCTGTGAAATACTTTGAATATAAAATAATTACTACACGTTCTGATGCAGAATAGTAAAAGCGCCTTTATAAATATACAGTTACACGTTATCACAATGCCTTTTGATGTGTTGAGTTTTCACCAGTGATCTTTGTCTTCTTATTTCATTAATTAATAGTTTTAGAGAATTCTTAATATAGTATTGATGATTAGAAGCGTCCCATCTTTCCATGTCTATCCAGCTCTTTAACCCTTTCCAGCCGGCTACCAGAAGACAGATAGCAAAGAAATCTTTTCCTGCATCACTGTAGTTTCCTCACCATGGGGATAGGAAAAGTGTGTTCTTCGGAACAAAAAAGTTCTTCGGTATCGAATGGCTTGATGTTGTCATTTGGCAACACCCGGCCGTAAGGGGATAAAAATTTTGAAAAATTCATTTTTTTTCATCTATCACAGTGCAATATTTTGTGGTTTTTTTCATCCACACCTCTATACTAAATCGTAGTTTGTATATTTGACCGTCTGTTGCACGTCAAGAGTAAAATATTTCTAGAATTCTCTACAACTTTCCAGAACAATGCAAAGTTAACCAGATCTGTTCAGAAAAGTTCTAGAAATTCAGAAAAATTCTACAAAGTTTCAAAGCATCCTGGAATAGTCTAGTCGGAATATCCCAGAATGCTATGAAACTTTGTAGAATTTTCCTGAATTTCTAGAACTTTTCTGAACAGATCTGGTTAACTTTGCATTGTTCTGGAAAGTTGTAGAGAATTCTAGAAATATTTTACTCTTGACGTGCAACAGACGGTCAAATATACAAACTACGATTTAGTATAGAGGTGTGGATAAAAAAGAACCGTAAAATATTGCACTATGATAGATGAAAAAAAAATGAATTTTTCAAAATTTTTGTCCCCTTACGGCCGGGTGTTGCCAAACGGCAACATTTCTATTTTTTATTGTCCGGAATTACTGATTAATACTACTTAGTGGTGCAATATACAATAGCCCTATAAAGGAAAATTAACCACTAATTGCCTTAGACATTGAATGCGCAGAGGCCTAGGAAAAAAACTTTTACGATTTGGATGCTACTTCAGGGCATTACGGGTGGAACCGGCCATTTTCTTAGTGAATGTTTTTTTTCTACTTCTGAACGCATGAATGTGTGCTGAAATGTGTTAACTTAATTATCAAATTGTCAAAAATTTTTATATAATCACTATAAGTCAATCCTTCGTAAAATATTGACTTAATGTTGCCAAATGGCAACATCTGGCTGTAAAGGGTTAAAGAATACTTGACTAGTTATTTGTAGAAAAAATACGAAAATTTTTTTTCAGGTTGAATTATTGTGCCAAACTGTGGCTGATAGAGATTACTCTAGTGCAGTTCTTCTAGTTCGAAGAATATAAACCGATTTATGTGTAACGTCTTCCGATTTTGTTGCCTATCATTATTTCATGTATTTAGTTGCTAATCACTGCATTGAGTGTTGCAACCGATAGAATGAACTTTTTAATCAGAAACTATTTGGAAAACACTTTCAATAAATGTCTTTTAACAAATCGATTATGTGTAATTAAGTATGACTACTAGCTCAAATACTTGCTGAAACAAAAACTTGATAAACTTTTTCTTGTAGGCTTTTATCTGCCCAAACCACTACTTTTGCTTTGCTCTAAGTATTTTATTTCATAATATGAAAATTTAAAAACTGTATACTTATCTATAATCTTGGATATTAGCTTGTAGAACTCAGATTTCCAAATGCTCTTCATGAAATATCATCAATAGAACTTTAAAATGTATGATTAACATAGAATTGACGTAAAAAATTACTTTTATCACTTATGTAGTAATTCCTATGATGTCTTAAGTATGATCAGTTTAATTTTTTTCTAACCTCTAATCTGAAGAACATATGCAATTTTGTCATTTCTATTAAATCTATCTCTTCAAACTAAATATACCAGTCAAAACTCTATTTCGTTGTTTTTTTTTTCTTTAGGGTGTATATAAAAGAAATACGAACAATAATATGTTATTATAACAAATTTTCAATGGAAAATCTAACTGAAAATCATAATACGTTGATATTAACACCAAATATCAAACGTATCTATTCATTATTTATAGTTATATTTCGTGTTGCTATTCCATTCATGTTACTTCTTACAGCCAATATAATACTTCTTGCAAGTGTTCGTAAAAGTGAAAGACGATTAATTCGTCATGGTCGTCTTCGACAAATAACACCAATGATTTTGTTTTCATCATGTATTCTTTTATTTACAGTATCACCTCGGTAAACAGAAAAGAAGAAGAGTATTTTAAAAATTTTTAATTTTTATTTATTTATATATTTAATAGATATTTACATCAATTTTATGTAAATTTTTTTCAAGAATCTTTAAATTGTTCATTAATACATTTTGCTCCACATTTATTAAAAACACTTGAATTATTTAATTATTCATTTAATGTATTTGTATCTGTTGTTAGTGGTAAACAGGCTCGAAATGAATTACTTGGTATGTTATCATGTCAATCAAAAAGTTTAAATTCACAATTTAATGGACCATCAATACGTAGTTCATACGTTGCATCTAGTAGCCGCCATCAACGGCGATCAAACTACATAACTTATGATCAAATGAATCTAACTAATGGATCGCTTCTTGCTAATAACACGGATGTTAGTTAACGTTATTAATAGTCAGATGTTTCTTCATTACATTCAGAATATTTGACTATAGAATCACCGTTAAAGTTTCTTTTTTTTTTTGAATTATTTTGTATTTGATAAATGCAAAGATGAACGAGATAGACTCCAAAGAAAAAAACAATAAATACTGTTGTTTATTCGGAGAATAGAAGAGGAATTATCACAAGTTTTTTGATAGAAAAACTTTCATCCAACTAAAGTCGTATTTTTCACTCAACAGAAAATATACAAATCATGCTTTCAATAACTCGTAATACTTTATGTAACGTTAAGATCTGTCAATGTTAATATGTGCCATTTAATAAACGACAAAACCTCTCTAAGTAACGATTAAATGGATTTAACCAGTATTTGTCAATCTAATAAGATATTCAATCAAAATGTACTTTAATTGTAAGGATTCATTTCTGAAGATTCTGTTTATCCGATTAATATTGTGAAGAATATTACATAACTCTTTTATGACATTGTTTAAATGAATACACAGGCAATATATATATAGTTTTGTTTTCAAGATGTTGAATTCTTCCATGTTTTATATGTGAAAATTTTCTTGGGTATTCAATATGTCAACTAAACTAGCTCGAATGAGTCTTCTAAGATGTATTAGACAAAAATGAGAACAAACTTTCACAGTTTTTCAATATTTCAGGTTATTAATAATAATCGTGATAAAGCTGTTGGCGTAACCTCTGCGAGATGATAATATTAAACGCAATGCAGCTTCCATTGCCACCTAGAGGAAGACTGATTTATTTTGGGACACATTTCTTCACCATCATTTTATTTAATTCTCTAGAAATACAATAAGGAAGTAGTTCAAATAGTAGAGCGAGATGTTATTTATATACGGTCTTTAATCGTATATTAACAACGTCTGTCCCGATCTGAGAAGATTTCGAATTTTTATCCCTATACATCAACACTTCTTTCAGATCATGTTTCATATAACGATCATAATTTCAAAGACAAACATTAGCAATAAAAAGTATTATTCACTTGTTGACAGGTTTCGAAAATCCTTTAACGAAGTTTGCCAGACCAAATTATTGAACTTGCTTGACGAGAATGTGCGAGAGAGATCTGCATGATACCTAAAAAGTCATCTCGCCTTATCAAAAGACGTACCTTATGATGCTAATTTTTGTACAAATTTTTCAAGTATCAAGATTAAACAAGTACGGTTGTAAATATACATGCAGTAAAAAGTTTGAATCGTTTTTTGTCTCGACAAACACAATTCTCACAATTATGGAACTACATTAGAGGAATTTTTTTTTTGACTAGTGTAAATCTGAAGCAAGAAAATTTCACTATAAGAAAACAATAGAAAAAGTTGTATATCACTGTTTAGCTAGACACTGAAATAATCACAAAAACTCAAATCCATTCACTTGGATTTGAATATCGTTCATATTTTAATTTTCTTTTAATTTTACGCTCTCCTATATAATGCGTTTGATCATTCTTTATTTTCTTACGAAAATCAACATCTCTACTTCATGCCGATACGTTTGGATATAGGCCTCGTCATAAATATTCGTACTCTAAGGAATACGATGTTTTCTATGATTCAGCATAACAATTGTGTATCTTCATGTTGTGAGCAGAGAAGTATGACGAATTACGAAGACAAAAAAATGATTGCTTATTGTCTTCGTAGAAGGACAATCTCCATTCTGCTTCATATCTCTCCACATATGATCTTATGGCTGCGTATAAAGTCACAAAGGCATACGATTATATTACTAGGCTATATAAACCATCCAAATACGTGCAAATACGACATAACAAGACTGTTTAAGAATATATACACGCTTCGTACATTTCCTCATGGAAATACATCACAATTATAACCATTTTATTTTGCAAGAGTTCAAACCAAACAAATAGGTTACACATTGGCTATTTAAAAATGGAAAAAAAACTAATAGCAAGCACATTTCTCAATAGAGTTTGTTGTAGTCTTTAAAAAAAGGAGATTATCGTCAGAAGACGAAGTCATCGCAAAATCTTGCAATATTCACCTATCGAAAATTTTAGTCTTGTCTCACGACTGATAAGGCGACCTGGTACGACAACAAGACTTACAAGTCTCTGGCACACGTGCTTTTCCAATTGAAGCGAAACTTCAGAAGAATGAGTTTATTCAAGTTGAAATTTTAAATAAATATCAAGATTTATAATAAAATCTTAACAAAAGAAAAAGACTTGAAAGCTATTCGTTGTTTCTGAGGCAAATTGTACTATGACAATATTTAATTGAAACCTTAAAATAAATAATCTTATAACTTAATCAATTGAATGTACTGATAACTAAGATTGCATAAATAGACACAATCAGTATCTTACTGAAGCTATTGCAATGGAAAACTTCATATAAAATTAAATTGCTTGAGAAAAAACATATTTTAATACGATTATAATAAAAAAAAATGATCAATAAATTGCAAGAAGAATAGCTCAGTGTACTTTCAATATTTCCAGATAAATACCAGAGAAAAAATATAGAAAGAAACTGGTGTCATCTGTCATATAAATTCTAGGATTGATCAATGCTTGTAACCATTCATGGAAATAAATATTTTCTCCTCTTCTTTCCTTCGACGGAACAGCAAACTCTCGTCAGTTGTATTTTTAATAAAGATATTACCTTTATTATTATGACGTCGATTTATTATATATTTACCGAATTACGTGATACAATACTCATTATTCATTTTCAATTTTTACTTTAAGAGTTTAGCTAATGAACAAACTTATTAATTATTTATCTAATGTTTTTTTCTTTTGAAGAAAACTAGCCTTTTCGTTAACTCAGATGCCACTAGAATTCATATGTTTTATAAAATGGTAGACTTTTAATACTAACAAGAAATATAAATCATGCTTGTTTATAAATTTACTTCACAAATATTCGCACACAAAAATTTGATTATAGTCCATGGTAAGTTTCCAAATATGAAGATAAAAATTAGTAAAGCAGTTTCATGGAGATCATAAGATTTTACTTGCATCGAAAGTTCAATTAAAATATATTAAATTAGAAAAGATATTTTTTTTTGGTTTTAGCTCATCTTTCATTGTAAAATTCGAAAATGTTTACAATGAATCATGGACAAAAAGCCCAGAATAGAAGAGGGTAACTAACAGTGAAAAAGGAAAAATAGAAACATAATTGAAGAGAACAGGTGTAAACAGAAAAGAGAGGATGAGAAAAAAGATCACGAAATCTTTTAACAATTAGATTTGATTGAGTTTCTTGCGCAATCATATTGTGGAGACAAAGTTCACTTTCGAACAGTTCTAAATTTTGCTTCAGAGAAACTTTAGCTGTTATTGAACAAGTTCTAACCAGGTTAGGAGAAATGATTGGCACAATGTTGCTAGTTCTGTAACTCTCTGCGTCGAGAAGCAGTGGCGAATTTCTCTTTTGACGATTTATGATAATTAGTGCAAAAGAAAATATCTGTTAAAAACAGGAAAGAAACTAAATCAAATGAGTAAGTCTAATAATATGAGATACTTTCGTTTGATTTCACCGCAACCATCAAGAGAATTTATGTTCTTCTCATACATTCGTTGAAGAGTTTCATTCTATTCAAATAAAATAACAAAGGAAATATCGTTCTTTTCCAAATATGAAAATCTTTTATGGATTTTTCAAGAAAATCTAGTCTTTGAATATTCCATTCTACTAAAATGATTCTGCTTTGTCTATATCTATAAAGCAAAACATTCACCGTTTGACAACCTTATATTTCTAAAATACAATCTTTGAAACTGCTCAAAGTTTTCATAAGAAGTTAATCTATTTAAATAGTTAATATTAGCAATATTTCATAGTCAAATCGAAATTTAATGTTCAAATTGTTTCTAAATGTATTTCTTTAAATAAATCTGTTTTTTTTTTGACGATATCTTTATCAAACAAATAAAATTAAAAAAGAATTATTTATATTCATTTTCTATGCCTTACGTATATTTATGGGCTAATTTGAATGATGTATTGATACGATACTATTTTACATTATAGTTAAAAGGTAATTTTATTTTAAAATAACAAAACTTTTCTTTTAGCTATTCTTTTTGTTCATGTAATGAGAATTTCAATTATCAATTAAAACATATGATTTAAAATCTATATTACGATTAGAGAAAAAAAAATGATTTCGCTATTTTAGATAATGTCATCATTAGGATCTGAAAGAGTATTGTCTAAATCTCGTCGTCGTTTTACAACGGATACACTTTTTCGTTTAATAACTCAAAGTAATCAATATGATGATATTCGTTCATCTACTCTGCATGAAAATGAATCAACATCATCCTATACAAATGGATATTTATCTGACTGTGATCTTCGTCATCTATGGTCTCTTTTATCACAAATGATTCGTAAACGTTTGCTTAAACATGAACCGTGCTTACTACCTGAATTAGGTGCATTTGTTCTAATTGATCATCCATCACCGGATAATATTAATAATCCAATCAAAGAACCATTTTTTGTATTAGATACAACATTTGCTCGTCGTCATCGTTTATCACGTATTAAAAAACCAAATCTATCATCAGCACTTTCACTTTCACTTCAAGCTAATGGAAATTCAACACACATTGAACCAAATACAACATTATCATCATTTAATATGCAAACATTAGATTATACATCATTACAAAATGAATCAGGTTTAACACGTGAACAATTAATGATGGCTATATCACAAATATTTGCCATGATTGATAAAGAAATTAATCCATATGGATATTGTTTTTTAGAATTTCCTCAATTAGGACATTTTAAAATTTCATTTGGTTTGGGTACATTTGATTTTAGTGAATCGTTTGTTGAAGAGTTTAAAGCAACAATTAATAATAAAATAAATGACAAATAAAATGAACAGGATTTATATATATATATATAATTATGTATATATATATTATGTCCGGTGATTATATTAAGTGTTGTGTCAGATTTCTTTTGTGTGTATCTTTTGTTTGTTTGTAGTTATTTGTATTTAATAAAAAAGTATTTGTTTAAATATGTATAATCATTCAGTCACAAATATCGATCATGTCAATTTAAAAATGTAAAGTATAGAATACATTCTTTCTCTTTTGTTCACCAGTAACCGATGTAGCAGATTAAATTACTGGGTCTCGTTAAGCTTGTTTCTCGGATTAGGCTGAACGAGCAAGTTTGGTTCTGACGATAAAAAAAAAATAAAAAATTTGTGTAAATTTAATTGATACGTTTATTTTTAAATAAGTATATACTCAAACAGACAAGAGTTTTTGCAAACATGTTTAAACGCTCTAAACGCGACTTTTTTTCTGACCGTTTCCATGTCCATTCAGAAAACACCCAAAACTAGCTACTTTCATTGTAAAAAGCGCGTGTAGACGCTTAGCAAAGAAACTTTTGCATCGGGAAAATGTCAAAAAAAAAACAAATTTTGCAAGATTTTGACGTATTTTGCAGATAAAAGTGACGTTTTTATGTGTGGTATATGTCAAAAATATTGTGAAAATAGTTTGTGGACATTTTCCAGATGCAAAAATTGCCTTTCTAAGTGTCGTCATGCATCTTTTACGATAAAAGTAATTGGTGATGGTGTTTTCCGAATAGACGTGAAAACACTCAAAAGGAAAAAGTAATTAGGGTGCTTAAACACGTTTTCAGAAATTTTTCTCTGATTAGATGCCTCATCTGTTACATATGTTAAAATATAACGAAGAAACGTACAGTAATAAACGACTATGCTCGAAGTATATTATAGCCATTGAATTCTTGTCAAATTCTTTCACATCATGACATTTGTTTACATACCATTTATGTCTTGAAACCTTTATCCCCTCAATATAGTACTTTCATTATGCATAAGAGCGCACCCGAAAGATAAATTTAACTTATCTAGACATGCACATGATTTATATCACATGGACTTTGTTCGATCGTTTACGGAAATATCTAACTTCACTAATCTACATATTATATGAATGTTAATGTTTAATGCGATTCATCATTTTTCACGATAGAACATTCATGACATTCTTGATTTTGCCCTTGTCAAACGCATCTGTACAAATGAAAAATAAACAGGAATAATATTGAATTTTTTGATAATAGCTATAGTATACATTTGCTCTCTGTTATTTTTCTAATGAGAAATAGATTTTATATCTACTGTTAATATGAATTATATAAATAAATAACATTATTTTGACCAATGAATTTGAATATTCTCAAAACGACGAAGGATGAATGATTGACGGAGGAATGTTTTCAACTGATTAATCGATTTCTCACCGAAAGCTAGTTGATTGCATGTTATCGATCATGTTGATTCCGAATATGATCATGAGAAATTCTCTGAGGTTTTAATATGCTGATTTTTTAGACTAACAAACTTTTCACCAAAACGCATTTTTTCACTGTTCAAATTATACAACGTATCAAACTACCTACAAAAAAGTAAGTTTGTGTGTTTCCAACCATTTTTTTTTGCAGAAAATATAGCAGATATCTATCACCATTTCAAAGTGAAAATCTTCAAGATGATATTATTTCACTTAGAACTCATATCTGGAAAACAGAAACAACTATTGACTTATAGACAGATAAACATGCTCTATAATCTGAGTAGATGAAAAAAATTTTTGCAAGATGTTTATAATTTTGGAAAACCAGTGTATTCAGGTCTAAAAGGGTCTCTCATAGTCAAATTCGGAATCAACACGACCGATAACTTACAACTCACTAGCTTTCAGTTAGAAAACGATCGATTAGTTGAAAACGTTTCCTTGTGAATATAAAAACTCGAAAATTAAAAAGAAAATTTCTTTCAATCTATACTGTGAACATATCATTTACATAATACTAAATCAATAGCGATAATTTCTGACTCACATCAATTGATGAAAATCTAATAATTAGCTTTTTTTCAATTGAACGCTGTTTTATTTAATTATTGATTGATATGCGAAAAAGGTGTTAGTGTGGATAAAGACAACATGACCCACACTCATCCTAATAAAGTCACATTTATTGTTACACAACCCAACGGTTTTACAGCACGCTCAACTTTTTTTGATAAGATTGCACCGTCGGCAGAAATATGTTCTCTTGTTAGCTGTGGTAAAGAGATTGAATCAGGCTGCATATTATCAACATTCGATTTTAATGCTGAAATGATTCTGAACATTGATGAAATAAATGTCCTTGCAGGAGTGTTTCTTGAACTGAGTATGGCTGGTTCAACTAGTGGATTTAAATTTTTGTCTTGTATTAAACTTACTGTGATGAGTCAATTATTATTTGTTGGTAGTGGAGGTGGAATTATGTTGTCACCTGGATATGCTATCAATTCTATGAGTGAGAGTTATTTTATTAGTAGCACAGGAGCATTTATTCAAGTCTTTAATCTATCAACTGGTATTAATATTGGCATGTAACTGGTATAATTTCAATAAGTGTAATAGATATGAAAAAAACGGAATATTGTGATTGAATTTCATTTTATATTAAGTTGATTTTAGGTCCTGCAGAAAGCACTACCACGACTGCAATTTCTTCGGCAATGGCATTCATAGATTAAATAAAAGAAACATATTTTCATAGAATTTTCTGCTTGTTTTTCTTTTACAAGAAAAAATTTATTTTTCCTAATTAGTCTGAAATTTTCATTTATGAGATATATAATTATATGGCCTATTCCATGGGGTTTCTCCCACGAAAACACAAGGGTCCCTGAAATTGCGCGAATATACCATTATCTTGTAGAACTTGATGAGTTATTATTATGGTAAAAAATCAGCTTAGACAAACGTTCCTTCAAAGAGATATCAAATTCACAAGTTTAGCTGAAAAAACGAGAAAATCAAAAATTATGAAAAATTCACAAAAATCATGAAATTTTGTGGCTTTGACTTTTTCAACATTACATGGACAGAAATTAATTCCAATTATATATTCTTGTTCCCCAAGCTCTGCTGCATCCTCCCACATATGAATTGTTACTTTTCGTTTCTCTAATAAAATTTGTTTTCAAGTAATATTATAGTCTATGACAAAAATGATAGTGCTCATACTTAGTCCTTAGAAACTAAAAATGGCNTTTTAACTTCTAAATTTTCAATTCAAGAATAAAATAATTTTCACAGCTGTTCTCTACTTTATTTTCTCTAAAAAAAAGTATCATTGTTGAAAAATTAGTTTGAACATGAATCAAGTACATGAATAAATTCTGTCAATATTTTATTTGATTTTTGATTGGATGTATGGAAGAAAATCCAGTTTGAAATTTAGAAAAATATATTCTGTACAATTTTATTTAACGAGCATCGTTTACCTTTCCTAAAACTTGTTTTTAACATTTTTCTTTAAATCGAAATAATACTTAGTGAACAAGTACTATCTTCGTCCTATTCGTAAAGGAATAAACAATGTTGTATTAATGAAGCGACGCACGATCAGCACAGTACATTATGAGCATCAGTTGTCTCGAACAACATTGCATAAAGATTGTATTACGACGGGTGTGCCGATTGATCATGAAAAACATGATTCGAGTTTGTGCAAAAATCGATTAGTTGTCGAAAGAACTGACGTTTTGGCTATTGTGGATCACGTCAATTCTTCACTGCATTGCAAAGCTATATGTTTAATGTCAAAAAAGGTTTATCATACAATAAACAACAATACCGTATCAAAACGCAATCGACCATGTATTTTCTGGTTAATCATATAGAAACTAATTTACCATTTTATACATATGTACTTATCGAGGAGAGCGTATTATTCTGCATATAAATGTATTCCGATCATAGCGTCGCTATTTTTGCTGCTTGTCGTTATTTTGTCGCAACAAACGCTATTTAATATTGTGACAAATAGCGTCGTCATTCTGCTCAGTAACGCCGCTTTTAGCCGTTTTGGCGCTATAGCGACGCTATTCAATAAAAACAGACGACATGGGATTCCAAATGTTGTTTTTGAATCAACCTATGTTCGCAATCAAGGTCTGAAGTTATTTGATTGGAATATTTCTTTTACAGAATTTCTCAATTTTAAATTTAGTATACTCATGAAGTAAACTAAACTCTATTTTAATACTTGTTCTTTTAATATTGATAGATATGGCAAATTTATGAATAAGTAATATTTAATTATCAAATTTGTATAGTTTTTTTCTTATTGATGGTACATAACGCTTTTCATCAAATCGACTAACATATAATGGATGTTGTCGCCTTCGTTGTTGTCTTTCAATTTTATTTTGTTCTTGTTGACGTTTTTTAAATTCTTCTAATTTTCTTTCTTCATCGGCTTGTGCTGCTTGAGCTTGTTGAAATTGTTTTCGATCAAAAAAATGATTTTGTTTACTAACATATTCACGACAATCTAACATTGAATTTAATTCTGAAATAAGTTCTTCATCAATCTTTATTTCCTTTGAAGTTATATTTGTTGTTACTGTCGTTGTTGTACGTGTAGTCTTATTTGATATAGAAGGAAATAATTTTTCATCATTAAAATCAAGTTTTGGAATATAACGACGACATTTTCGAGTTATATATGATGAATATATTGATTGAAGTTTATTATCATCCATAAATAGACTATTAGTATCATTAGTGAATGTTTCTCGATCACAAACAAGAATAAGATCATTATTACATAACCATCCAGTGTGTTGATTATGTTCTATTTCGATATATGACATTAAAGAGTAGAAGAAATCGTTGTCATGGAAAAATAATTTTTTTTGCTTCTAAATTATTTCAAAAATGTTTTCATTATATTATTTAATTTCGAGATGTGCATAAACTAAGACAAAAGTATATCAGTGAATTGAATCATGAACAAAACTGATCTGTAAAGATGATAATTCTTTGATAGGAAATTATTGCAAATTCTCTGTATTATTCATTGTAAATAGCAATCATGTTTATGAAATAATCTAAGAATCTTCTCAATAAACACTGAATGATGTATATAAATTACAAATTACTTCAGAAAAAATGAATTATAAAATAATTCAAAAATACATTAAAGATCCACCAGGTATATACAGGTATCATCGGGTGTGAATACTATGTAGGGACTCACATTGCGTCTTTCTGAGTGTGGGTGCCGCGGAAGGACTGGTAGTACCTGGTGATACCTGGTAATACCAATTTTTTTGAAGACTGATTGCAGATTTTGTGTAAATCTGAATTATTTTATATGTCATTTTCGTCATGGACTCACAACAAAGTTATTTATTTCAAAAAGTCATTCATCATCTTTATTTTTTATGTTATCATTTCCCCAAAAATAGTGTTGAATGAAAATTAATATGTACCTATAATTAAATGTAAAAAGAAAAGATTTCTATATTACTATTACTCCTGCAGTGGGATGATTGAAAACGTTGAGAGGACAAAGAATTGTTTTTGAAAGCATACCTACATAGTACGTGGCACACTAAGTAGAAAATCCAAGAGAGCTAACATGATCCTCGAAGAGATGCCACACTCTCGACCACATCCTGGATAAAACAGTGATTACTAAAGAAACAACTATATTGATGACAACTTACGTAGATCTGACCAAAAGTTCTGATAGTATTACCGGCAATTTTATAAACTGACTAACATTAAATAGTTTCTTATATGAATAAATAGTAGAATCTCATGTCTATAATAATAGATATATAATTTTTTTTTCAGCTGAGTTCTGATACTCTTTTAGATGTAATCGAATTCTTAGTAAAATTAACTTTTAAAAAAATGTATAACGAATTTGATCGATAACTATGTCAAAATTCAGACTATTTCGAAAACCAATAAGAAGACAATTCATGAAGAATATACAACAATGTTGGGGACTAACGCTCCATCATATTCAACAATTGCAAGGTGTACAAAACGTTTTCATGAAGGTAGAAAAAAGATGCCAATGATGGCGTACGATCTGATCGTCTAGTTTCCGAGTTGACAAATGTAAATATTGATTTTATACAACAGATAATCAAAAATAACTCACATGCAACTTATGATGATATTTCAGCTGAAATTTCTCTCTCATAGCACAATAGAACGAGTTAGAATTTATTGTGCAATTTCATGATGAATCATAGCGATTATTTAATATTATTACAGGTTGGACACAGCTCAACTAACAGAAACTGGATTAGAGCAAAGGTGAATCATCAACGACTATTGTTTGTCGCAGTAGGTTTGAATCAAAAACTTTGTTTTCTATATTTTTTAACTTAAATGATTCTGCTATTATACATAGTCTAGATAGAGACAAGACTACAGATCACAACTATGATATTGAGAATTGCTTCAAGTCTGTTGTCAATGAAATATGGAAACAAGGAAACTTATCAAGTGCAAAAGATATAAAACTACTTTATGACAATGTTCGACCTCATACTCGTTCAGACGTTATTAACTCTTTGACACCAGAAAATGTCAATATCAGACCTTGCATTATGTGATTTTTGACTAAATGATTTTATCAAACTTAATTTATCTGATGACACAAATGAAAAATCATTGACTAGTACGACTTTCAAGATAGTTAAAAATATCTCAGAAGAAAAGTTTAAAAAATATTTGACAAATTTTTAGAAAGAATGGAACTTTCTATCAGTAATTCTGGCGACTATTTTGAACATTTAATAAAATAAAATGAAAAATATTTCTTTATTTTGATTTTTTTAATTTAATATTTTTAGAACTTTTGGTCAATGTTGAGCAGGTTGAGCACTGTATGAAAATAATAATATCACCATAATCGCACTGATTAGGTTTTTTTAAATAAAACTCTAAGTAAGAATTTTTATTTGAATTGAGACAATACGTTGCATTATTGCATTCAAATCAAATGGCAGAATCTTAAAATAAAGAAGCCACTTGTCGAGAAGTCATAGGTATGTGTAAAAAGATGTCGTAGCTCATCACTTGATTCATGTAAGAGTCGTTCGAAATAAGACCTATATTCATGACCTCTTGTATTAAAAAAAATCTCGTGAGTGTCAAGATAAATCTCAAAAAGAGAATTTCTTCTAAGAAATATATCTAAACTTGTTTGAAAACCCAATCTTTTTTATCGAATTTTGATGGATTCTATAACTTATAGTTTTTCATGAAGTCTTTGACAGTAAATTCTGCTCTGATAATGTACTATGATAATATTTATTAATAATGATTTTCTTGATTGGTGTTCATTTTTAACCAGAACTCGTACGTGATCTGGTGATTTAAAGTGTGTTAAGAAATGCCATTTAATGTCGACATATACTATCAGTAGTGATTTATGTGAAAGTATGAACATTGAAAAATAAATTTATGATAGAAATCATTTAACATTGATCCTCTTTCAAACTGTGTCCTATTTTTTTTCCAAAGTTGATTTTCACGCAAAGAATGGAACTACACTATGGTCACAGTTTAACAAATGTACAGTCAGTGTTCACATGAGACCAAATGCTTATGGTAAATGTTATAAAAATAAACTGATTTTTAGTTTATTAAAAGAATTCAAGGTCATAAATGATCTCTACCAGTAATTTTGCTTATTCATATACAGTGGATGTCAACTTTTTAAAATGGGTTTCATGTTCAGTTCATGAATGGATCTTGATATCGATATCGAATTTATGATTCATTTAGAGGTGACCATAGACACTGAATATAAAAGATTTTGCATTGAAGAATTGTTTTGAACGATAATTAACGCCCTCTATCACTTGTTTCCTGGCAGAAGATGATGAAATAAAGAATTATTGTAAAATTTGATTTAATATGCATCTTTGATTATTTGAAAGAATTTTGTTAAATAAATATCCTTTGATTTGAGATGTTTGATTCGATAAATTTTCTTAGTTTCTAAATTTTTATCGATAATACAATAAATTATAATAAAACACCAATCAAATAATATTCAATCGTAAAGGTCTTCCTATTTTTTTTTTGTTTTCAAGCTGCCAATCGAAGAAACACAAAGGCGTGTTCTCCGTTGTGTTTTTCTTGTCGAGAAAATAACATAACTAAGATGTTCCTTGTTTGTATATATAGTATTTTTTTTTCGGCGTCAATGAGTCAGTTTTGTCATTGCTGATTGGAATATCTTGCAGAGACATAGACATGCTGATGTGACCTAAAGTATTTACTATACTTGGTAATATTTTTCTTCTGCTAAAGCTTATTTGTTTCTATTGATTGGAAGAAGAAAGAATACGACTTTTCTTTTTGTTTTTGATACTAGGAAGTCACTCGATACTCATTCATGTCGATCAGAGGTTATATATGTCTAAAAGAGAAAAGATAATGAAATACATGTTATTTTATCAGTTAGTATTCGTTAGTGATTATTATTTGATTTTATGTTTGATAAATGAAAAAGAGGAGAGTAAAAGGTTAATACTATGTTTTTCGATCTTGATATTTTTTTCTTCTCCACTACAATATTTTATTGTTGAATTCGAGTAGATTTAATGAGAAAGAAAGAAAGAAAATAACACGTGAATTACGCAGATTAAAAGAAATATGTTTTTCCTGTTGTTATTTTTCTCTCTATGAAGATCATACTGACTACTACATCTACTACTACTACAATCAATAATATATTCTATCGAGATGGAAGAGAATCAGCATCTGATAATAAGTAAGTATATATATATACTTTTTTGTTTTATTTTATTTTTTTTTATTTATGCTGACTCAAAGCATGAGTTTTTTCTTTTTATTTACTAATGTGATAATAAATATTCAAATAAAAATTGAATTTTGTGTTAATTATTAGTAAAAACAAAATTTCTAGATGACAATCAATTTAATCATGACAATAACATATATCTGAAAATACGAACGAATTCTGATTCTAGTCAACATTCAGATTCTAGTCCAACAACATTAATAAACAATCCATCATTCAGTTCAAGAATGCCTAACATAAAAGTATTCGGTGGTTCATCTCATCCTGAATTAACAAAATTAATTTGTGCTCGACTTGGTCTGGAACCAGGAAGAGTTATAACAAAAAAATTTAGTAATCGAGAAACAAGGTAGAATATTTCAAAAAATAAAATAAAAAAAAGGAATATATATTTCCTAAAACAAAAAATTTTTTTTTTTTTTCATTGTGTATTAAAGTGTTGAAATTAATGAATCAGTACGTGGTGAAGATGTGTTTATTGTTCAAAGTGGTTGTGGAGAAATTAATGATAATCTAATGGAATTATTGATTATGATAAATGCATGTAAAATAGCATCAGCTTCAAGAGTTACTGCTGTTATTCCATGTTTTCCTTATGCTCGACAAGATCGTAAAGATAAAGTAACAGAAAGAAAAAACTCTTTTACAAAAAAAAAGAAGAAAATTATTTTTTCTTTCAAAACATGTAGAGTCGTGCACCAATTTCAGCTAAACTTGTAGCAAATATGTTGAGTGTAGCTGGTGCTGATCATATCATAACAATGGATTTACATGCTTCTCAAATACAAGTATATTTATTCCTATATTTAATAGACATATTTTTATATTATTTAATAAAAGGGTTTTTTTGATATTCCTGTTGATAATCTTTTTGCTGAACCTGCTGTTATTCGATGGATATCCTTACATATTCCAGATTTTAAAAATGCTGTTATTGTCAGTCCTGATGCTGGAGGTAAAACTAATTCATTTATTTCAAAAATGCAAACTTTTATATTTCGTCTTTTTTTTTTATTTAGGTGCTAAACGGTAAAATAGCTTTCTTTTTTTCACTTTCAAAATTATTCATTTGAATATTATTGTCTATATAGTGTAACATCAATAGCTGATCGATTAAATATTGATTTTGCACTTATTCATAAAGAACGAAAACGTGCTAATGAAATTGATTCGATGGTACTTGTTGGTGATGTTACAAAACGTATTGCGATTTTAGTTGATGATATGGCTGGTATATTTTATTTAATATAATTTCAAATGTGTAAATTGAATATTTCTATTTTTTTTTCATAGATACATGTGGAACATTTGAATGTGCATCACAAAAGTAAATTAAGATTTCCCATAGATTTTTATATCTGGTTGATTTTTTTATTGTATAGATTATTAAGTGCAGGCGCAAGTAAAGTTTATGCAATTTGTACTCATGGAATTTTTAGTGGTCCGGCTATATCAAGAATAAATAATTCACCATTTGAAGCTGTTGTTGTTACAAATACAATTCCACAAGAAGAAAATATGAAAAATTCAAATAAAATTCAGGTATTATTTATATATAAAAAAATAATATCATGTTTAACATCAAGAAGAATCTCAGGCTAGAACAATATCCGATTTATTATTTATCTTAAATAACAAAATAATTTGTTGACCATGTTTATTATTTTGCTTATAACCTGAGGACAAAAACAAACCAGAAGGAAAGACTATCATAATTGATTTATTTGATACGATTTAAGACGTTTTAACTCTATCAGAACAGAATCATAACTGTGAAGAATGAATTCTTAACCTAATTTATTTCATTTAATAAACAAACTAAATACTTAGATGTAGAGAAAAATGCTAAAAAAATTCTGTTACATTGCTTCAAACAATGTTATCTATTATGAAAATATGTTTTTGTCATCAAAGAAAGATTTTGAAACTTATAATTAAGAACCTAATTATATTAATTAAAAAGAATAAATTTTGATAATTTTAGGTGATTGATGTATCAATGATGTTTTCAGAAGCAATTCGTCGTACACATAATGGTGAATCTGTTTCCTATCTCTTCACTCAAATGCCACTCTAAAAATATCAGTAAAAAAAAAACCAAAACGATTTATTGTGATAAAAAAATTTTTTGGTGTTTTTTTTTATATGATCGAAACATACATATACATGTGTTTGTAGTATAGTAAAGTATCACGGTTTCGTTTGTATAACCTATTTTCACTTCATATGATTATTTTTTTCTTTTACATATTCATCAGACTATTATCTTTATTCTTCTATTAAACACATAAAAAGAAATAATATTTCAATGAATGAATATTAATATTCATCAGGCAGAAAACACTGATGATCATTATCATAAGTTAGATGTGACAGAGAAAAATGCAAAATATGTTCTAATTCAACCAATAATATATAACTAAGAACACAGTATGTTGACTGACTATAAACAAAATGGTCTTATCCATACATCATGTTTATCATTACTTTATCTCAATTGTAAAGATACCTATTGCTTTTTAAAAAAAGAAATGAATCATAGTTGCAGTCTACCTATATTAAAAAGCATACATATATCATTCAGTTCACAAAAACTAATTATCACTAATTTGAAGAAAAATATATTTGATTAGAACATATATATTCATATGTACTGACATTATCTTAAGTAAGTCGGTTCGCTTTTATATCATTTTCGCCCCTGTACTGATCGAGGAGACGGTCAAGCAAACATAAAAAAAAAGCCACTGATATATATATATATAAATAGAGGAGTATAATCGTGATTTCTATACAGGTTACAATCATTATTATATCTGTTTATAATGATGACAAGCAATGAGGCTCTTTCATACGGAACACAATCTTCAAATGTATCCACGCAATCAAATGAGAGTGAAATATATTCATCAGAACCATCAAGAAATGCATCACAATATGGATCAATTCATATTCGTCTTTGTCGGAGACCAGCTCCAACAATAGCAACTGGTCGGCGGCCAAAACATCTTGTTCTAGCTGGTGAAGAAGCTATTAAACGTGAAAAACGGCGTGAAAGAAATCGAGAGGCTGCACGAAAATTAAAAGAAAGACGCCAATTTATCGAAGATGATCTGAATCAACAACTCAAGAAACTTCAAGGTGAACATGCATATTTACAAAATTATCTTCAACAACTTCGACAAAGAAAACAACATTTACAACAACAAATCAATAATTTTCTTAATGATCCTATCGATAAATTATTATCAAATGATAATCAAAATGTTACTTTATTTTTTGAACAATATTTAGATGATTTGAATTTTATTGATGAACCAATCGAAAATATTTTAAATTCTGACTTAAACATTAATTTTAATTCATTTGTAGATAATTAGTTTTTCTTTCTTTTTGTAATGATATCTGTGGTAGGTGAAATAAGAACCTCTAACTATCTTGAAAAAAAACGATTTAATTTTCATGGTGCATATGACATTTGCGTCAAAGAAAAATGTCCCCCAAGGTAATATTATTTGTTTACCTCATAAACCTTCATAATATTATGCGTTTTTATCAATGAAATCATCTATCATTCTTTTTCTCTTTTCATTTGTATATTAGATAGAGACTAAAGTGAAATGGATTTGAATACCGTATTATATGTTTACGTGTGCATTTATTACAGTAGTATTGAGCTGGTTGAAGGCGATAACTGTCAAACTATATTATTGACGACATTTTGTATTTGATATATGGTGGGAAGCGAAAACCGAAAAGAAAAAAAAATGTCTTATTATAAGGTGTGTTCCAATAAAAATTACTATTTGATTTACCAATGACTTACATAAAAATATTTAGGGAGTTCAAAAGTAGAAAAAAAATTGGCATTGAAATAATGAAACCGACAATAAAAAATGATGTATTTGAAATCCACTGATTAAAATAGACGTTTTCATTAATTGCACTGTATGGTTTTGATTGAAAATGAAATTCACTGTATTTGCTTTATTAAAATGTCACTTTTCATCAAAGAATTTGAAATAAATCAATTTTTTTGTCCTTTTAATCATCTGAAATGGCTTTTTTTGTGTTTTTGGTGTAAAATTCACGATAGTCATACATTTTTTAAAATTTTGTTTTGACTCCATAAGCATAAACTAACTATTTAAATGAATTATATTATATGGAAATTTTATTGTATTTTCTAAATAGTAAAAGCAAAACTAAATATAATCAAATAGACTTTCGTAGTAGTAAACAATCAAATCATACTAAAATCTGATTACATAGAAATATATTTTCGCATAAGATTTTTTTCTCGTTGAAATTAATATGAAGCAAATTGTTTCTATTTGACTTTTCTTCACAAAATGATTAGATAATTGAGAGAAAATGATAATGTCTGTTTTTTTCTGAGGATTTGTAAAAAAAAAAAAAAAAACTACGGGTCACCTTTTCTTCAGAAAAAGCCAATTTTGGTCAAGGAGGGCGTATAAGATGGCAAATCGACCCATTGACATTTTCTCAGACCAATCAATCCTATTGAATCGTATGTCAAGTGATAGAGAAAGTTAAGACTGACATTTTTATGCTAGTTTCATGAGGTTTTAATCGAATTTTAAAAGTGTAAATCAATTAGCAAATTAACACATTTTTAGTCATTAATCCAATAATTGATTCTATTATTGTGGGTTCTATTACAGAATAAGTAAACAAGAGAAGATAGTATTGAGATTATGGATTTGATAAGTCTTTGGTGGTGCTTCAATTTCATATATAAATCACTAATTAATTATTAAATTCAACATGTCGATCCTATTTACTGGTTGACATTATCACCATATTTGCTCTATTAATCATCTGCTCTTCACTTTCAACAAATATTTTAATTTAAAAATTGAAGAGACCAAAATTCTGGTCTTACTTTTTTGATAGCTCTTTTCTAAAGCTAGAAAATCATATATTTTCCAAAGTCAAAAAAATATGGTTGCTTGAAAAATCCCGAAGTACACTCTTTTAGGATCATGATTTTGTACATTCTTGACTAGTGTTTAGCTACTTGTTGCTGTAAAAATGGTAGCTTAAGCCAAAATCAATATCATATTCGGAATCAACATGAAAACTGGGTCGATTCATATATGTATCAAATATTTCTGCAATATTTTTTTTTTCGTCTGAAAATTCACCCCTATTCCCTTCCCCCCGGAATGGTCAAAAAATGACGTCTTTCAAAAATGTGACTTATTCTGTAAAGTGAAGTGCTTAAGCTTCAAAAATGCGAGTAAAAGCGAAACAGCAGAAAAATAGATGATAGTGGGATCGTTTTGAGAAATGTCATTTTTTGACCATTCCGCGAGAGATAGAGTGGGAGTGAATGTTAAGATGAAAAAAAAATATTGCAGAAATATTTGATACATATATGAATCGACCCAGTTTTTCATGTTGATTCCGAATATGATATTAATTTTGGCTTAAGCTACTATTTTTACAGCGACAAGTAACTAAACACTAGTCAAGAATGTACAAAATCATGATCCTAAAAGAGTGTACTTCGGAATTTTTCAAGTAACCATATTTTTTTGACTTTAGAAAATATATGATTTTGTAGGTTAGAAAAAAGCTATCAAAAAAGTAAGACCAGAATCTTGGTCTCTTCAATTTTTAAATTAAAATATTTGATGAAAGTTAAGAACAGATGATTAATAAAGCAAATATGGTGATAATGTCAACCAGTAAATAGGATCGACATGTCGTTGAATTTAATAATTAATTAATGCTTTATATATGGAATTAAAGTGCCATCAAAGAATTATCAAATCCATAATTTCAGTAGTATCTTGTTTTGTTTACTTATTCTGTAATAGAACCCATAATATTAGAATCAATTATTGGATTAATGACTAATAGTTTGTATGAGTAAAATTAATTTTTAATTAAATAATCCATACGACAAAATAAAAGTAAACGAAACGAATAAAGGGTTATAAATAATCTGTAGCTGGGTAACATCAAAATGCAACTTGTTTATATTTTATTATATCCTTTCGCTCTCCAACGTGACATGTGTTTTTTTCGTTACTAAAGTAAACAACACAGAACAAGTAAGTCGATGTACTGTAACTACTTCTTACATCATTCCGCGTACATAATCTCAGAAAGATTAATTGTTTATTATCGTTATATTTCAAATACAATTATGAATTAGAAAGACTTATGAAGATGGATGTGCTCATCTAATTTTGCATAAATATGATCAAGTGAAACATCCATTGATTCCAACGATTTCAAAGCAGATACTTTAATGCATGACTTTAAATAAATCTTATTCAATACAAAAACTTGAACACTTATTTACGTAAAAAGAGATTTTTGTAGTTTGTATCAACCAGGGTCAGAAATTTTGTCTACTCGGATAGTTCTGCTTGGTGATCTGCAAACATCTTCAGGATTTGAATTCCTGCCCGAGATCAAAAGAATAATAACAGATTTAGAAATTGAATATTGCAAGCGAGTTTTTGTATTTTAAAAATGCATGAGAGTTTGGAATGTTTGAACTAACATAATGTCGTATCCCAGGTCGAAATCACCCTGCCGGATCCTATCGGATCCCAAACTATCCGCCAGTTTCCGACAGTCGGAATCCGATTGGCTTCCGACTGTCGGAAACCATCGTTATCCATTACTTTCCGACGATTTCCGACGTCGGATTCCGACAATAGGATCCGATGACATCCGGCAATGGGAACTTGTCGGATCCGACGAAATTCGATG